TTAAAGAGTATTCTCGGTTAAGATTTCAGTTTCAATTCCATTTTGTATCATTTGAATAAAACTGCTAATCTGACATTTATATTTAAGGTCTTTCAGTCTAAGAAAGTCTATCTTCAGCTCCATGTTGGGAGGCATAGGACTATCCTGCAAGATGCTTTAATATTTGTTAAAAATTAATACTATTAAATTTGAGCTCTTTATAAATCGCATGATAGAAATCCTTAGTAGCTACAGTGGCAATAAAAGTTTGTCACCAATTTTTGAGGAATTTGCACTTCCCAACTTGTAATTTCATTTCCCTACATCACTCATTTCTGCTAGTCAAATCATAATCACTTGCATCTTGCTGTGTATTTTTTGTTTCTCTCGGATCTTTTTCCAATCCCCAATAAAAAAAAAGGTTAGAAAACAGTGTATTTTAGTTGAGGCAAAGTTTGTGGAACCCAGTGTAAAATGATTGGGGGGACAAGTCCTTCTCTTTCAACATTGGATCTTTGAAGTGTGCTCGAACAGACAAGCAGACACAACATCTGTTTAACATCTCGCTCTACAACAACAACTTGCACTTGTATACCGCCCTCCAGGCAGGGTAACGTCTCAGAGCACTTAACAGTGACGGAGCCTGACTCTGAGCCAGGGTGGGAGGTGGCCGTAAGCACAGTCAAAGAGGAAGGTTTTCAGTCGGGATTAGAAAAAGGGAGCGAGGGGGCAAGGCAGAGGGATTGAGATCTAATTAATGTTACTGAGTTATTAAACACTAAATGTATTTACTGCTAATATAGCATTTAGTACTTGCTTGAAACAGGCAGTTCATTTTCAGTTTCACTATCAAAGTGATCGGCCTTTACTTTAGGTTAATTTAAATACAGTATGGCATACAGAGCATACTTAAAATGCAATTTTTTAAAATTAAAATTGGACTTGTATGCGTGTGTTGTAATGACAGGATTGTTTTTGAGATTTGTGATCTGGTGAAGGTTTCAGTTATCCCCGTGTCTGAAACATCAAGATATGGCTGAGTAAGTGAAAGTGTTGATATCATGGCAGCTGTACATAGCCCAACATGGCGATCTGCTCTTTCCTTACTTTCCAGTGAGTGTAAACACTGAGAAAAAGTGCAGCTGTGGCGTTTAATGTGCACTGCAGGAGATTTCAGCAGCCTAGTGAAATATTGTACATTAATGTTGAAAAGATAACCCCATTTGCAGAGCACAGGATGAGTTTTGCCTTTTTCTGGGAGCAGAATGCAGCCTAATGAATGTGAATGCACTCCTAGTTTCATCAAGCCATATGTCAGTTTTTCTAAATTTAGCTTAATACAGCTGTATAACTCGTTCTGTTTTTTTTTCGCCTCTTCCATTACACATGGGAGGCAAGTGTTATGGTTCAAAATGTTTTCCTTTTCATTACATTGTTACAGCAACTAATAAGTGGTTAATTTATGATGCTGGTGGCTCCACTGTGTGGTTTGGATGCACAATTGGTTCTGATGGTATGTGTTTTCTATGCTATGGGTGAATAAACCAACGAGCTATTTGAGATCCAAGCCACGAGTGATATAAAAATCATCCATCTATTCGTTATTTAAATACATAGTTTTCCTTTGTTTTGCTGGTAACGAAGTGAGTTTACATCGGTTTCATATGTAATATCATTGAGGACAGAATGCTGTGGTGGTAATCTTTGTTAGTGTGGATTTTGTAGCAATTTGGGAGCTGGGGGAGGGAGCGGTGGAGTTGAACCTTTGCCATGCAGAGCCAAAAGGAAGAGAATCTGTGCTGTGGGGGAACAAGAGGGAGTGTTGAGATACAACCACTGAGAGAAAAAATAAATTCCACTGTGGTTCATGGAAAGTACCCTTTTTTCCCGTGTAGGTTTGTTTTGTGGCTGAAGAGATAGATAAGATGGACTGATAGCCTAAGGAAAATGGTAGATCGAAGGATAGGTATAGTACATATGTTTTCCAACACTGTTGCTACAATTATCTTGCCATTTCTCAAAAGTACTGTCAATCTTGTAGCACCTGTTATACAATCACTGGTATGAACAAGATATCAGTGTTGTGCTACCTTTTTTTAATTTATGTGGTATGAAAGTATTATATTACAATGCTTGCATCATGTTCAAATACATCCATTCACTCCCTGGTACCTCCCTACCTCTCCCACCTACTCACTCCCCAATCCACCACCCAGTGCCTCCGCTCGACTCGTCCCTTGCACACACCATCCGGAGGTCGTGCACTGCACCCCAAAACTCTGGAACACTTTCCCTCAATCCCTCTGCCTTGCCCGCTCTCCCCCCTCTTTCAAGTTCCGCCTGAAGACTTTCCTTTCGACCGTGCTTATGGCTCTTCCTTCCCCTTGTGGCCCCCCCACCCTGGCTCGGAGTCAGGCTCTGCTACTGTTAAGTGCTCTGAGACTCTTTCCTGCGTGGAGGGCATAATATAAGTGCAAGTTGTTGTTAATGTTGAGAATACACTGTCATTCGAATGTGACTATTCTATTCCCACTTAAACCTGGTTATTGCTGTAAACATGCCAACTGTTGTGTATTATATATTAAATATATTTTTTAAGAAGTTCGCTGCTCTTGTTGTGTCAGATATTGGTTATATAGTGCAAGCAATATAATGCAGACACACCTGTAATTGGTTTTGGCTTCATATGACCACTGTAGTATTGTTTTTTTGGCAGTATTATGGGTTAATGTATTCAATATAATTTCTACATTTATAATACGACATACTAGAAATCATTCGATATAGATGTGACCTTTTCAACTCTTCGACTAAAAGTGTGCAATAAAGATGATGAGCGATTTCCAGTTTGGTAAATGTGAACTAATGCCAGTTATTTTTTGTGAATACAAAATATATATGGGTACCTAAAACCCTTTCACATAATTGGAACAGTGTTGGTGAGCTGATAAATTTGCTGTAACATGGTCATCTTGGAGGGGGTGGTGCTGCTGCCACTGTTAGTGTAATTATAAACAAAGTCTCAAGGCACTGCGATAATCCCAGTGGAAAAGCACAGTCGACAGGAGCCTCCCTTCTGGCAGCCTGTTGGAAATGAGCACAATGCATCTGCTTGTAGCCAGATTGCAGCACGCACTTTAAATGAATCTTGTTTTCAATTCATGCTGCTGCTTAAGAAATGGGAATGTGGGATGGCACATACACCGCAGCTGCTCTGAGTAAAGAATAATGCACGCTATAGAAGCATATGAAAGGTTGGATCCTCTGACCTTATTTTCCATTAATACATCAAAAATATTTACATATAGCTTGAAGGACATCACAAAATTGAAGCTTTTTATGCTGAGTACATCTTAACTTGTAGAAAATTAACTGGATAGCTTTGGCTTGCAATAATTCTCATTATTGAGACAAATATTGTATATTTTTAACTTGGAGTAAATTTTAACCCCCACAAAAAGTTCACTGGGTCCCACAAGGAAGGGAGTTACAGAACGATCAGTCACTTGCTTCCCCTGGTTAGTCCAGTAAATGTTCTCTCTTGATCGGGTATTATATAGCAGGTTGGCACAAACTTATAGTCTAGGCAGACACTCCAATACAGTGGGTGGGGGCTGAATTGTCAGGAGCCGTCCTTTCACTGAGGTGTTGAACTGAGGTGCCATCTGCCTGTTCAGGTGGAGAAGGGAGTTTCTCCCAGTGTCCTGACTTAACAATCCCCAGATAAAATTGATCACTCACTGCATCACTGTTTGTAGAACATTGCTGTGCGTAAACTGAATACCCCATTCGCCAATTCACAGTCACTACACTGTCAGATTTTCACTATTTATAATTTTTTTTAAAAATCGTTTTAACTTGGCTTTAGGGTGCCCAAAAGAGATTCATATCTATTTTGAGCAGTTGGCTAAAGACTGAACTATCTGTTTCATTCAACCTGTTATCCCAGATGCTCGCACGTCTGTTGTACTAAAGTAGCATTCTTGGCTCCCAAGCTCTGGCTTTCCCTCATGACATTGAGATAAATTGCTGAGTCCTTATTTTAAGGGAGGATCACTGACTGTTTTGCTCCAAAGCTGAATTCACTAACTGAAGGGGCGATTATACAAGAAAACTGCTCTATCAAAGTGTAACTTGAGGTGCACGATGAGCAATGTAACTAACCAAATTGTTATCAGATTGCTATTTTCCATCTAGTGTAAGTTCACTTGGAGGAATTACGCGACCTAAGGCCTTGCACCAGTTACATTTTAACGAGGCAAGTGACAAGATCAACTTTTTACACAGCCCAGGTGATTTATTGATCCATTAGGCGATGCTGCAGCACAGTTTTATTTTTGTACATCGGAAGTTTTGCAAGCAGTTGGAGGATGGGAGGAGAGTTCTTAGCACCTATTTGTTTGCATGTACAAAGCTCTGTTTTCTTCTTTGAAAAAAATGAGGAGGGCATTTAGCTTTGTGCTAACTGCTTAAACTGATTGCCTTGAAAGTAAGTACAATGATTCAGAGCCTGGGATTATATGGCTGGCCTGTTGTTCCTGACCTGTAAGGAGTGTTAACTTCTTTACCACTCAGTGAGCTGAATTGAAATTATACTGTTTCCATTATGCCAATAAATTTAATTAGCAAAATGAAACATTGAGCCTAAGCAGCATTGCAGTAATTTAGTTACTATTTGAGCTGAGACCTAAAAGGAGAGTGAAATTCCCAACCCTAAAAGGAAACAAATGTGTTCTGAAATGTACTTTATACAAAATAATTTACACACATATTTCAACTACTTGCACTTATAGTGCCCTCCATGCAGGGTAACATCTCAGAGCTCTTACAATTATTTCAGCTTCTATTATACCTATGATTGTTGCTAGTCAACGAGTAGAAGCTTTCTACAGAGGTTTACTGTACTGTCATATTCTTAAACTAGACTGTTGAATTATGCATTTGCTTATCCAGTATGTAACAGACTTGGGTTGTTTGATTTCTGATGATCCTTTAAACATGCATATGTTCCTGTGTTGCAGAAAAGGCTGCTGCAAATGAAGACGATGTCCAGAAAGCTGATGTGTCCTCCACAGGTCAAGGTGTCATTGACAAGGATGCACTCGGACCAATGATGCTTGAGGTCAGTTTATGTAGTTGACCCTGAACCATAATCCAATCTATATGAATTTCTATACTGCTGATAATGTTTTACAGTGATTCTAAACTAATTTCCGTATCTGCAGCTCATGAATTGGGACATTTTCATCATCAATATAAACAGTCTTTTCACTTTCTCATTACACATTCTATATTCACTCATGCCAAATTCCAAGGCAGCAGGATAAGATGCTTGGGTCAATTTTAAGGACCGACATAGCACATACTTCTTTACATCATGGGTAATCACAAGCTTTATTTTTATCACTGGAGAACTAGATAAAAGCTACCGAGCCAGGATAGCATCAGTGGACATGTGTAATGGTGGTTTGGGGTGTAAAATTGCAATCATTTCGGTAAAATTTGTGTCACATGCAGGGATGTTGGGCGACTTGTTGAAGGCTGTCAATATGTGTTCATATAATCACCTATAATTGTACACTTTGTAGTAAATCCTCCTGAAGTGAATAAAGTGCTTTAAGACATAATCCCTTCCAAAAAAAAAAGAAAAATTAACACACGCTTGTTTACCTAGCAGTAAGTAGGAACCTGATTGTTAGTCGATTGGCAGATCACTTTCCGAGGGTAAGAATAACTCCTTCAAATTAAAAAAAACTAATAATTTAGGCACTCAATCCACGACTGTTTGTGGAGCACTGCTGTGCGCAATTGGCTACCGCGTTTCACCCACAAAACACAGTCACTCCACTTGACTGTATATCTTGTGAAGCCCTTTGAGTCGTCTCAGTGATGTGCTAAACCGCTATATCAAATGCAAGAATCATTATTATTAAGAGTTGCTCTTGTGTTGCTAGTCATTGTCCTTAAGTTCTTATGGTAATAAATTATACTGTTGGGAGCTCAGAACATTCTACTTTTGAACACTGCAGCCAATCCTGATTTGGCACATCACTTTTGTTAAATTTAAGCAAAGCCAGGTGAAATATTTTTGTTTAATTAGAAGCAGAAATTAAAGAAATCTTAATGGGCATGAGCAAACAATTGGCTACATTAATATAGTTTTCAAGACAAAGGTCAGCCAAACCAAATTGACTTAATTACCTCTGAAGGCTGTAAAGATGCGAGCAAAATTGATGCTGATGGGCCATTATAAAATAACATGGCCTACAAATCATGAATTGCAATTTTCTTCCTTTTATAGATATTAGCAATATTTTGGCATGATAACTTGTTAAATCATTTTGATTATGAACATAGTTTTGCATTATTATTGCACCTACTGATATGTTGGCCAAACAATGCTTTGTGATTGAGGTTTAAAAAATTGAATTAATTTAAGCAAAAAATTATATTACACATTGGAAGGCAACCTCAGAGCTTCATACAATTAATTTACTGAAGTGTAGTGACTATTTTTTATGGGAGAACAAAATTTGATGTATGAAGTTCCCCCTTTAATTGAGAAACTTTATTTGGGTGATAATAAAAATGTGGGTAATAATTAGAATTTTTAGCAACTTGGAAAATTACATTTTAACCTATTGGTCATCCTACCATATGGATAAATATAGTTTAAAAAATGTGTATTTCATGTAACCTGGCCCGTCTAAAATGGGTGATCCGAATATGTCATTTGGACCATTTTATAGCTTCAGGAGTGTATCACATCTATTCTAATTGTTGTTTACAGGCATTGGATGGGTTCTTTTTTGTGGTGAATCTGGAAGGAAACGTAGTGTTTGTGTCTGAGAATGTAACCCAGTACCTGAAATATAACCAGGAAGAACTGATCAACTCTAGTGTATACAGCATACTACATGTTGGTGACCATGCTGAGTTTGTGAAAAACCTTTTGCCCAAGTCTCTTGGTAAGAACCTACTTTGAAATGTATCCAGTTAACATGGTACTATTGATTGAATTACAACAGTAGCTGAAACACTTAGAATTATTTTTGTTATTAACCATTTTTCAATAACTTTTTAATCATATCTGGTTCCAAATGTATCCCCTTTGTCTCGCACTTCACCCAATTTTTAAAAAAGGCATTTGTGCACCAGAATAATATATTAATTTATTTAAAGATTACAATATGGAACAATATTTTGGAATTCCCTGTTTATTTGTATTGTATGCATTACAAATTGTAGAAAATAAAAGATGAAAATATTTGAAAGCTGGACAGGAAATGCTGTAACTGAATGGGACAGCTTCATATACTGTATTTAAGTGTATTTGAATTTGAGAATAAACTAATATATTTTGAGACTTTTACATTTTCTGAAATGTTACAAATGTTTAATATTTTCGCTCCCTCCCCTTGAGCAATATGGATATGAAAAATTTTGTTGAAAAATCATTTCAAATTTTCATCAGTGAACGGGGTGCCTTGGTCCAATGAAACTCCAAGACGAAACAGCCACACCTTTAACTGTCGTATGCTGGTTAAGCCACCTGGTGACTCGGATGAGGAAGGCCATGATAACCAGGAAGCACATCAGAAATATGAAACTATGCAGTGCTTTGCTGTGTCTCAACCAAAGTCCATAAAAGAAGAAGGAGAAGGTAAGTTTCCATGTTGTTGCATTTAAAATTCAAAACAACCTGGATTTATTTAGCGGTCTTCATGTGGATTAACATCAATAACCCAGTTACTGTTAATCCGTTCACTTGTCTTCAAAAATGCTGAACATTTCTTAGGAAGATAGGAAGGGACAGAAGGAGACCATTCAGCCCATCAAGCTGTTTCGCCAATTTATTAGATATTGGCAGATCTTTTAATGTCAATAACGTGCCCTTTTGTCATATCTCTTAATATCTCTACCACCCAGTATCTGGTATTTGAAAATTCCTATTGATTCTGTTTCTACTGTATATTCCACATCTTTGCAACTATCTGTCAAGGAATGCTTCCTGATCTCTTTTCTATTCATCCCGTTCTGAGTTCTGCCCTTGCGGCAGATCCCTTTATCAAGGGGAAGAGTTATCCACTGTCAATTCCTTTCAATATTTTAAATACCCGAATCACCTTGTTGCCTCTTCTGCCGTAAGCAATATAAGCACAGTAAAAGCAGCTTTTTATCATAGCCAAACCCCTTCAACTCAGGTATTAATCTAGTGAAACGTCTTGAGGTCACCCTCAAAGTCCAGTATATCCTTCCTAAGATTAGGTGGCAAAAACTGAGCAGTATTCCAAATGAGGTCTGACCAGCGCTTTATATAAACTTTATTGTCCATTGGTTTCTTAAAATGTTAATCAAAACATGTGCCTGTTATTCCATTGTGAAAACATACATACCAAATTTGCATCTCAATGACTAGTTCCTGGACTTGACAATGCTGTCAGATTGAAAGCAAATGTTTTATCTCATTGATGGAGAAGGATAAATCAGATGGACACCATGGGGCAGGCAACTCTTGGACCTCCTTGAATTGTTATTCATGTAATCCATACTCGGGTCCGGATCCCTGATTGTTCAGCGCCTTGGGCCGTCCTCCCGACATGAAAGGCGTGTTACAAATATAATGTTGTTGTTGTTCATATTTGCAGAGACCTGAGACAAAGAGATCAGTGGCATGTTGGGGATAGTAAGGAAACCGGGCGTACGAATGCATGTTCCAAATGAACTTTAATATTTTAAGCAAGAGAGTTTTTTCATTTATAACCTTAATTTTGGTTTAAATGTGATTTTTATTATTCAGGATAGTTTTGTTTCATTTTCGTAGAGCATTGTTGCTTAACTCAGCTGATTGTCAGACTGCTTGATGTGTTAACTTGTGAATAAATGGAAGAATGAAGTTATAACAGGAATATAACTCACATTTTGCAAATCCATTTCCTGCATAGTACATTAGTGCAGTGGATTTTTCAACCTGAATTGCCACACCAATATCACCTCCCCGCCCCCTCCCCCAGCAAGACTCCCAAAAAATGTCCAATGATCCCTTGCTCCACTAAATTCTTTGCAATACTGGCTCCTCCCCCTAATATGAGCTGGGGTCCACCAGATTGCAGGCACAGTGCTTCTCGCTACAGGGAAAGAATTATTCTGTAATGGTGTTATTTTTCTCCACTTCTAATGGAAGTAGTAAGTACTCCCTTTAGACTGCAGTTCGCTGTCAAACAGGAAATCTCTCTTTCAGTGGTTAGACAGGCAAAATGAACAGCAATACTGTGGAAAACCGGTTTCATTATATAAATCCACAAATGTTTTAGTGATCGCTGGCAAGAGGTAATTAAAGATTGGCATGTAGGCATTAACCCAGCACTCTGGAACAAGCATATAAACAAACCAATGTAAATTAGCTGGATCAATTCTAGTGAGTGAGGCATTTTTGTTTTGCAATTCGGAAAAATATTTTTCATTCAACTAGTAATTATTTTAGGGCAAGCTATCAAGGTTAAAAAGTGCTGTTCAGATACCTCCATTTGTTCCATTTATATGTATTTTGGTCAGCTGCGGGTGTTTGACACGTGTGTAAACCCATCACCATACTAAAAACTTTCCAAACCAGACTGAGCTTTGCATATTTATGCCACTTGGAAGTTTTCCTGTGTCTGGAGTGATGTACCCTCCTTACCAAATTAAACCAGGTTGGCAATAGCCACAGAAGTGCATAGCTCGCCGATGAAAGCACTCTCTGGCAAGCTTCCCACTACTTGTCCAGCTACGATCACCCAAATCCTATCGGCTTGTGGAGTTAGCAGGAGCTGAGTGGGAAGAATCCCTACCTCCTATGACTGTTATACCACTGTAAGTCCTGCCGACGGTTCTGGTTGGCTCCTCTGTCATTATCAGTTTTCCCCCATTTCGATGATTTGCCTAAATGCACGGTACAAGATTAATTATTTTTCTTTCTAACTCTCAGATCTACAATCCTGTTTGATTTGTGTTGCACGGAGAGTTCCTGTAAAGGAGAGACCACAATTTGCAAATACTGAAAACTTTTCGACGAGACATGATTTAACAGGTAAAGGTAAAGCAAAATAAAATGGTGTCTTTTGTTCTGCTTTGAGAACTTGGCAAATATTATTGCATTTTTTTTNCTCTCCAACTTCTTCCAAAAAAATCCTAGGCAAACTTATATCACTGGATATAAACTTATTACGAGCATCAATGAAACCAGGATGGGAAGACTTGGTGCGACGATGCATTCAAAGATTTCATTTGCAAAATGACAAAGAGATGGCTTTCGCTAAAAGGCATCATCAGGAAGGTGAGTACTCCTAGTAATAAACAAATAATCCTTACATTTGATACGTCGCCTTTCACATCGGGAGACGTCTCAAAGCGCTTCACAGGATTTACTATAAAGTGTAATGACATTTTGTAGGGGAATGAAACGTGTATGCTGTCATATCCCGCCCCTCTCTCCCCCCCCCCCCCCATTCTAAGGGAATGTCCAATAGGTGGTGACCGTCCTTGTAGTCAGTGAGTGATAATAACAACAGCAACAACAAAATTACATTTATAGAGTGCCCTTCACGTCGGGAGGATCTTGCTCATTTTTTCTATTTGAACATTAGGTGTCGGGGCCCGAGCATGGGGGAGGGGTGATGTAGGGGTGAGGGAAGGCAGAGAGGTGGGAGGGAGACCAAAGGCGCGGTCGAAGAGAAGGTCTTGAGACCAGCCTTGAAGGAGGCAAGGGAGGAAGCGAGGCAAAGGGACCATGGGATGGAGTTCCAGAGTGTGGGGGCAGAGAAGCTGAAAGCCCGGCCACCAATGGTAGGGCAGGTCGGGCGGTAGACATGGAGCAGGCCAGAGTCCGATAAACTGAGGTAGTGGGCAGGCCACACAATTTACCTGTGGGGGCTGGTCCAGCAGAGCTCGATCATGTCCTCACTGAGCCTTCAGATGCGTCCTTGAGCTGGGGCAGGGGAAGAGCTGGGAGGGGAGGAAGAAGGTGATTGAAAGCAAGGTCAAAGAGATAAGTCTTGAGGTAGGCTTTATAAGTGGGGAGGGAAATGGATGAGTTGGGGGGCTGGAGTTCTAGAGAGTGGGAGCACTATGTGAAAGCTCACTTGCTGATATTGTGACTGATTGAAATACAACTTACATTAAACATATCTGTTTGCCTTTGTGACGTATAGTGCTGAGACAAGGCCAAGCTCTGAGCCCCATTTATCGTTTTTCTTTATCTGATGGCACCATGGTTATGGCACAAACCAGGAGCAAGCTTATGCGTGCTCCAAGCACCAATGAGCCTCAGTTGATCATGTCATTGCATGTTGTTCAAAGGTAAGCACAAAACATGCTTTGTGTTAATTACTTGAATTCATTGTAAACTGGAAATTGAAGCATTTCATGAGATAATAAGGACAATATATTCCTGGATCTTGCTCATTTTTTCTATTTGGGGATACATAATGTTAAGCCATTCAAAGCCTGGAGGCAAAAAGTCTCATAAGTTATAAAGTTTTATCAAGGTCTAACAGAGTGCTAAAGTAGCAGTGAACATATATATTCCTTAATTTCAGACTCAGTTAAGGATTGAATTGTTAGGACTACCAAAAGGAAAATTAAATTTGCATTAGCAAATTATTGCATTCATAGTCTTGTTCAGTTGCTAACACTTAAGATTTTTCTGACGTCAACTTGAATGTAATTCTGAATTAATTTATCTATATCTCTGTTTGGTTACATAGTTCAAAAGTATAACTATGAAAAAATCTGGGATCCAATATTGTGAACATAGCATTTCTGTTCCTTTCTCTCTCCCCCTCCCAATGTTTTGATCATGAATTTTGCTTGAACCTCAGAGAGCAAAATGTGTGTGGGACGAATCAGGATATGACTGGGCAAGGCATGGCAAAAAGCATGAATCCTAATTCGAGTAGCCCAGCAACGGCAGGAGTTTCTGGTGAAAAAGCGAGTCAAGAAATGACTATGAACAGTAATACCAGCTTTGGTATGAATGGTCTAAAGGAGCAAGCCAGCATGGGGCAGGTGCCAGTCAACAGGTTTGGCATTACAGGTGGAATGAGCCATGTATCGGGCATGCCAGCAGCTATTCCTCAGGGTAGTAACTATGCACTCAAAATGGGCAGCCCATCGAGAAGTAGTCCTGGGATAAATGCTGGGCAACAGAGCTCCATGCTTTCACCGAGGCATCGTGGAAGTCCTGGAATGGTTGGAAGCCCTCGAATCTCTGCCAATCAGTTTTCTCCTGTCGGAAGCCTGCATTCTCCAGTGGGTGTGTGCAGCAGCACAGGGAACAACCACAGCTACTCCAGCAGCTCGTTGAATGCACTTCAAGCCCTTAGTGAAGGGCATGGAGTTTCACATGGAGCACCTTTGGCTTCGCCTGATCTAAAAATGGTGACTTCACAAAATTCTCCTGGAAGCATTAATTTTTCTCAGCTAACTAAAAAAGGTAGCATGGACTCCAAAGATTCTTTTGGATTGTTTAACGAACAATCGGAGAATACAGCTGGACAGCCGGAAAGTAGTGGACTTTCTGGAGAACAGAAGGATGGTCACGAGAGTAATTCAAATGCGTTTGGAGGTAGAGAAAGGACTGATGGGCAAGGTAGAGCGCATGATGGCAAAGGCCATACCAAACTTTTACAATTGCTAATCGCTAAATCTGATCAAATGGATTCTTCCCCTTTGTCAAGTATCGCTGGGGATTCTATGAAGGACTCCACGGGAGTGTCATCGGGATTGTTGTCTACGTCAACAGTGACATCTACAACTAACACCTCTTCAGCGCACGGCCCCTTACTGAAAGAAAAACACAAAATTTTGCACAGGCTTCTACAGGACAGCACATCTGTAGACTTGGCAAAGTTGACAGCAGAGGCCACAGGTAAAGAACCCAATCAGGACACGGGAAGTTCGGTTTCTGGCGCAGATGCAACTGTTAAACAGGAGCAAATGAGCCCCAAGAAAAAAGAAAATGCACTACTTCGTTACTTACTGGATAAAGATGATACAAGTATGCAAGATATCAAGCCTAAGCTGGAACGGATGGATAGTAAGGTGGAAGCCTGCATGAGCACTAAAATGACCATAAAGACAGAGAAGGAGATGAATTATGAATCATCTGAACAGGTGAGTGCTATTGTAAAATTAATGAAATTGTCTGAGTTGACAAAGCTGCATGATTCCACATTAGAATTAACATGTACTGGATAGGTCTATATCTACATTAAAGGAATAATTTTGAATGGTTACTTCTACCACACCCTGATCTACATGATTTGCAGGTCAGGATATCAGAAACTCACTCAAATTATCTGTGGGTAGAACTGAGTTTTGATTTGGGAAGGGGTGTGGAAGAAGACATTGGTTAGAGAAAATACCAGTAAAGTTTTATTTGAGTAGATGTCTTTTTTACAAAAAGGGCCAACTGTTTAGCAAACATTTAAGTGTATCTACCAAATCACTGTTTAGCTCTCTGAGATTGTATGGCTTTAAACGTCAAAACTATTGCCGTCTTTCAGTTTCAATATTCATGGAGAAAAAAGTTGCACTTCCTGTCAGGCAGCTTTACATTGTGAACTGTATTAATTTTGGATAATTATTTTCATAAGGGCATGAAAAGTTCTGTTTTACTTCTGCTCCCCAAGTGCCCTTTAAAATGTTAAATTTAATATATGTGAACAAAGTGTACAGAAAACATTAACTTCCCTCTCTCTTCCTGTCCCACAAGTGTTCTTGATATTTTTCTTAAAATTATTTATGAATGACTTCTAAGTTAATTAGTAGCTACAACTTCATTGTCATACGCTACAGACATTGGAGGATTGCATGCACCTAAGATCCACACCATGATTTCATGGGGACAACTCCCATTTAAGAAATTCCAGTGCCCTGAGGTCATACCACATGACCATCCAGATTGGGCTATAAACCACATTAACTTGTCCCATATTGCTTTTTTTCCCCATTGGGCATAAACAAAGTTTGAGGGCTCTTATTTGAGCTACATCACAACATGGTTGTCAGAAAGGAGGGGAGGGATAGCAGCAAGAAAGTGCTAACATACAAACAAAAAATGCTGCATCTGAAATAGAAAGCTAGTTAACATTTGCAACGTGACCATTGGGGAAAAACTTAAGTTCTTGCTCCATGTTTTGCATATAGAACACCAAGTTGTATTTTCTTTGCATCACAGCCTATTCAATAGCCACAATTTACTTAGTCATGTGCACTGACTGGCTTGAGACTGGACAGGACTGTCAAATCATTTTTAATATATTGTGAACCATAGCAATGGTATTCCATGTCTCCGCCATTGCCTCACCCTCGGGCTGCTGAAACCCTCACCCACACATTTGTCACCTCAAAGCTCGATTACGGAAACTCCCTCTTCATGGGCCTCCCCCACTCTTCCCTTCACAAGCTGCAGATCATCCAAAGCTCTGCAGCTCGTGTACTCTCACACAGCAACAAGATTGCATTTATAGAGCGCCTTTCACGTCGGGAGGAGCACCAGGCTCTGTGACCCCATCACTCCCACCCTCGCCCGACTCCACTGGCTCGCCACCCCCAGAGGATCGAGTTCAAGATCCTCGTCCTCACCTTTAAGGCCATCCTACCTCTCTGACCCGCTGACTCCCTATCAACCTGCCCGCTCCCTCCGTTCAGCGGCTTCCGGCCTGCTCCATGTCTCCCGCCCGACCTGCCCTACCATCAGTGACCGGGCTTTCAGCCTCTCTGCCCCCACACTCTGGAACTCCATCCCACCTTCCCTTCACCTCTCTTCCTCCCTTGCCTCCTTCAAGGCCGATCTCAAGACCCTCCTCTTCGATCATGCCTCTGTCGCCCTCCCACCTCTCTGCCTTCCCTCACCCCTCCCCCATGCTCGGGTCCTGACCCCTGACTGTCCAGCCCCTTGGGACATCCTCCCAGCATGAAAGGCGCTCTATAATTGTAATTTTGTTGTTGTTGTTGTTGCAGGGCTGAAATTAGATGTTGGAGCTGTGATGTAGCCCTTTTTGAAATGTCCTCTAAAACCTAATAGAGCAGGGAACTTCAAATGTGCGTAGCAGGGGATCTCCTACATCAGCAATTTTTTTATTTACATAGTTCAGTGGAAAGGATAGTAACTTTTTTAAAATGGCTACTCTTGATTTACACTGAACAAATGGATTTCACAGCAGACTACACTTGCACGAAATGAGCATTTTTTGTGAAATATAAATGTTAATTTCCATACACTTAGTCACAAGAGACGCACCATTAGTTATTGCATTATTGGTTGTATTAAAAGACTAAATTACGATATGAACCTTCTATATCGGCATAATTCATTTCTCCACAAGTTTGAAAATGTAAATTACTGCTACAAGTTGCTAGAAACTTAGTCCCAAAATAGGTCCAGAATTTTGCAGTATTTCCAGTTTTCAAATGGAGTCATGACTGTATTGTGCCACAAACTCCTCTTATTGGGTGGTTCACAGCACAGTGGGTGGATGACTTCAGGCTAATGCAACAATACTGTAGGCGTGCATCATGAATGATTCAAGCTGCAATGATCTTGCCCACTGTTTTGGTGGCTCAAACCTACATTTAAGTTCCACGTGATGAAGTTTAGATAGCATTAATTTATGCTGGGTTCAGTTTAGACTATTGGTACTAAAACATCCCCGTCACCACGCTTAACTCTCACTGCACTATTTACTGCTGATTCCTGTCCTGGACCAGAGGTCGGGTGCTTAGGAATGATATCAAAACAGCATATTTGGTGACTTTGGATGTATTGTCACAGGGTTGTGTGTGCTACGTGGTTGTCGCTCAAACTGGGGCTGATAAAGAAAGCATGAAAATTGAGACCGACATCCATTTGTTTAGCAAACTCGTTGTGCCACCGCCTCTGTTACCTCTGTTATGATCCTAGTACAGAAATGTATCTGTGAGAAGGATGATAGTGTTGCTTAGCATGCTGAATGTCATCAACATATGTAATATCACAACGTGTGCAATATAATTCCATCTGTTACATAATTTGCCTGTTAATTACTTGGTGCTCCACATATGTCTCGTGGCACTGGGTAGAGGGGTAAAATGAGCTGTCATAAAGTAGATTGGCCTGCCTTCTTTCCAAAAGTGTGTTCGACTGAAGATAAAAGATCCAGCAGTATTTTTACGTCATTTATGTTATCGACCCATCTATTGCAATTAATCAAATTTTATAAATGGCTCTCTCTTTATGACCACATATCATGTGGATACATTTTCTATTCACCTTTCAAAGTAAAACAATTGTCTGAATTTGAATGGTTAATGTTTGACATGATTGCAAGTGTGAGAGATGATGCTTGAACTATTGGACTGCCATTAGCTATGGGGAATTCCAGCTCCCTGGGCCAGTTATTTAATAGCTTGTTTTTCTTTTCTCAGTTGCAATGAGGCATTTATTTATTATTGCGGCATCAAAGATTCCAAATTAGAGGCATTGATGCATTATAAAATAATAATCCTTACATTTGGTGTAGCATCTTTCAAGTAGAGTGGTGTCTCAAACCACTAGACAGGATTTACTCTAAAGTGACTAGTTGTAAGCAAACACGGTGGCCAATTTTTGCACAACAGTGTGCCCTACAAATGGCCATAAAGTGAATCACCATTTTTTAATTTGAGGCTAGATTGCTGGTCAAGATACCCAGAGAAACTCCCTTCACTTTTTGAATAGTATCATGGGATCTTTTAACATTTACCTGAACACGCAGATGGGACTTTCGTTTCAATATCTGATCGAAGGACAGTACCTCCAACAATACAATATACCCCAGCACTGAATTGGAGTGTCAGCCTAGGCTATATGAGTTCCAAGTCCCAGTGTGTAGATGTGAAAGGCACTATACAAATGTAATGTTGTTGTTGTTGAACGCACAACCTTCTGACTCCGAGGCAAGAGTGCTAACAAATGAGCCAGGCTGACCATGAATTATAATTATCGTCTTGTGCATTGCTTCTGGAGGAGATTGCAACAACTGGTATGTGGATAATCATCATCCTTTGCGAATGCTTGATTGTATTATAAATCGTTTGTGAGCTCAACTGCCTAAATAATGGCAGTAGAGGCGGAGATGTGCCTGAATATCACAGGTTTGCTCCGAACCCTTTTTAGGATTCTGCTAACATTATTTGGAATACAGTAGGTCACAGAGGCTGTCGGCTTCGATGATGCCTTTGAACAGTTTCTTGCAGTTCCTGTATGAAACGCACAGCAGGTGCTATCTCATATATTGTATGATACTTTCTGTCCTTGTATTGGATACAATATGCTAAACGCAGATGTCATTGCACGTGCGGCACTGACTTTTTCCATTGAGTCTGATCTCTTGTAATCCGAAAAAATAGGATTTCCATCTCAAAAAATGGTTTGGGGGAAATTCAATGCCAAAAAACCTGGCCATTTTACACTAGCAATTGCTTTCAGAGGCAGCAACAACTTGCATCACACTGTGTCCTTCACGCAGGGTCTCTAGAGGCAACTTGTAGGTAAAAGCGATACTAATTGAAGCTGTGCATTTTTTTCTTTGGATGAAAAGACAACCAACAGGCTTGAACTGTTCATTGCAGGTCTGTCTTCATACATCATGAAAAATCTGGGTCAAAGCATGCTAATTATTATTGCAGATTTGGGCTGCCTTTTGGTGTTGCTGCTAGTACTTTTAGATCACCTAATTCATCATAAATGGATAGAATCGTACTATCAACCAGATTTAAATATTTTTGACTTGTGCAGTCTAATAGGGTATGACACAGTTATTTCGATGTTACTTATCACTGCATTGTTATTCTCGCATTACTGAAATGTATTTTTTTTAACAAATTTAAAGTTAAAATGTTAGTTTTGTCCCTTGTATCCTCCTCCTCCCATGCCTCGTGTTCTGATTAGCTAACTCCTCATAGAATGGGGATTGAACCTGGGACCTTCCTAATCTGTATTGGCTCAGTTTCATATTGGGCAATGGCTTTACCAGCTGAGCCCTCAGTTTTGTAATTCTATTTGCAGATATAGATAAATGCCAGAATCAGTCAAGTCCTTTGTTTACATTGGTTTCTAAAGCTTGCCTTCCATTGCAGAGCAATGAATAAAT